TTGTTAACCAATGTCATAAAACAGCATGTGTGTTACTGTTACATGAGAAACTATCTGTTCTGTAAGCCTTCACCTGAAGTACAATAAAATATTAAAAAAAAAAATTATCAAGAAGTGAAGTAGAGGTTTTCTTCACTGGGCAACAACCAGACTGTGAAGGTCCAGCTCTCCATCTTCACCTCTGCCAACACAGGTGCTTAGGTGCCTGTGTGCAAACCTGTAAGTCTAGAGACATCATCTAAGACCTAAACTCAGAATCACAGAATTTTAGCTTGAAGGAAGCTTAGAGCTCCCCTAGCCCAGTGGTTTTAAAAATCTATTTCAAACCTTTTGCTCAAAAGAAATATTACTCAGTATATAAAACAGAGTTAGTCTGACAGAGCAACCCCCCTCACCCCACCACCACCACCACTCCAAAACCCAAACAACCAAACCCGTTGCCATCGAGTTGATTCCAACTCATAGCGACCATACAGGACGGAGTAGAACTGCCTCATAGGGTTTCCAAGGAATGGCTGGTGGATTCGAACCACCAGCCTTTTGGTTAGCAGCCAAGCTCTTAACCACTGTGCCACCAGAGCTCCTCCAGGGTAGGTCTAAGGAACCTATGGTTCCACAGAGCACAAACTGAAAACTGATCTTCTAGATCCTCATTTCACAGCTGAGGACACAGGCCCAGAAAAGGGAGCACTGCTCAGGGACACATGGAAATGTCTTTATTTTAGAGCCAGAATGTCACAATGCAGAGACTGAGATACCAGGTAGAATTTTAAAGGAAATAAAACTTGTACAAATGCGAAAAAGTGACTGAAATTAGAAACTCCAGGGGCAGGTTAATTCACATAACAGATATAGCTGAAGAGAGAATTAGTAGCCTGGAAGATAGATTTGAAGAAATTACTCAGAATGCAGCAAAAAGATGGAAAATATTAAAGAGAGGTTAAGAAACATAAAGGATAGTGTGAGTGTGAGAAGGTCCAACATAATCAAAATTCCTGAAGGCAATAATGGGAGAGAGGCAACATTCAAAGGGATAATGGATAGCAGAGAATTTTTCAAAATGGGAAGACACCAAACCTCAGATTTAGGAAGCTGACAGTTCCCAAATAGAATAAATCCACATTTTCAGTCATCGTAAGGGAACTTTGTTCACTGTTGTATGCTCAGCACCTAGAACAGCGCTGGCACCCAGTAACTGTTTTATAAAATTTGTAGAATGAATGAATGAAAAGTAGAACACCAAAGACAAAAATTAAGATCTCAAAAGCAGCCAGATGGGAAAGATATTGTCCAAAAGGAGTGACAAACTGGCAGCTGATGTCTCAACAGCAACGTATACGTCAGAAGACAGTGGAACAATAACTTGAAAGTGTTGAGAAAAATGTCAACTTAAAATTGTGTACCAGTGATGAATCTTTCAGGAATGAGGGAAAATAAAGACATATTCAGGTAAGCAATAGATCTTATCAGCAACCGACTTTTTTTTATTTATTTATTTTACTGTTGTACTTTAAGTGAAGGTTACAATTCGTTAGTCTCTCATACAAAAATTTATACATACATTGTTATGTGACCCTAATTGCTCTCCCTGTACTGACAGCACATTGCTTCTTTCCACCCCTGATTTCCTGTGTCCGTTCAGCCAGCTCCTGACCCTCTCTGCTTTCTCATCTCACCTCCAGACAGAAGCTGCCCATTTAGTCTCATGTATCTACTTGAGCTAAGAAGCACACTCTTCACGATTATCCTTTTGTGTCTCATAGTCCAGTCTAATGTTTGTCTGAAGAGTTGGCCTCGGGAATGGTTTAGTGCTGAGTTGAAACAGAGAGTCTGCGGCCTGCTTTCTGGCGTTCCTCCAGTCTCAGACCATTAAGTCTGGTCGTTTTACTAGCATTTGAGTTCTGCACCCCACTCTTCTGCTCCAACAGGGACTGTCTGTTATAGCAACCAACTTCTGATACAGAAACGTCTAAAGAATCTTTTTGTGGAAGAAGGAAAATTTTCCAGAAGGAAGATCTACAATACAAGAAGTTAACTGTAAACATGGTCAGTCTTCAAGACAATAATGTATGTGAGGCAGGGCTGACCAGAGACAAAATGTTCTAAAGTCCTTTTTTGTCTGAGAGTAAATATTGAATTAACTTTAGACACTGTTAAATCAAATACACATAATAAAATTTCTTGGATGACTACTGAAAGAATAGAAATAGAATGTAATTTCCAAGCCAATGCTGGGGGAAAAAAGATGAATAAGAAAACAATCAATTCTAAAAAAAGTCAAAAAAGGGGAAAAGAAATTTTGACCATTAAACCAAAACCCAAACTAGTTGCCATCAAGTCAACTCTGACTCATGGCAACCCCACGTTACCATTAGCACAAAATAAGATAGTTAAAATGACCAAAATAGAAAAACACAGGCAAAATGGCGCCCTAGGCAGAAGCACCATACCGTCCCTCCACAGCAAAGATCCGAAAAACTAAGCTAAACAGAGAATACAACAATCCTTAAACCTTCAAACATCAAATGAAGAGATAAAGAACTCAGCCAAGCACCAAATGGAGTGAGAAAACTGACAGAGAATGGAGAGCGAGGAGAGATTCATGCAGAGGTCCCCTACCAGCTAACGCAGCGCGGATCCACCATCTTGGACTCCTATTGGAGACCAGCAAACGGGGGTAC